ATCTTCCTGGCGTCGGAGATACTGCGTAGAAGGGTCGTCTCGTCAAAGTCGCGCCAGGTTGAGGGGAGCAACCGGCGGCGACCGTCGGGCTACTGCAGTGTATGTCACCAATGTCCCTTCGGGTGGGGCCACGATGACGGGAGCCTCTGGCTGGATGGCTCGCTGAACCTTCTCTCTTACTACTTTGGCGACGAAAAATGGGGCCGGGCCAGTGGCAGCGGGCAGCAGCTTCTTCAGCTATTTCTGGACGACTTCACGAATGATGTTGTGGATGCCAGTGAAGCTGAAACTGATGTCGTAGCAGGGAAGCGAAGAAGCAGCTACACTCGAGTGTTGATGGTAGTGGCTGGCTCTTGCGAGAGTGGCACGTCTTATATTTATGGGCTCAGTGATAAAATATTCGATGGTAGAAGTGCGGTTGCGAACAAGACCAAAGAAAATATCATCCTTTACACCTCACATGAGGATCCTCAGCTTCTTTTTGTTGCTGGCTTGAGGGTCGGCGCGAGCGTTCAGGTGCAGAGCATCCTAGACTAAGCTGGTGTGTCTCTCATCTAGGCCTTGACTCCTTGTTCGAAGCAGCTCTTCGGCCCTCTCGCGTCGGTGCTGGCTGGCAAACGTCTTTTTGAGTTCTTGCCTGCAGACCTCCCGCGAAAGTTAAACTGGATTTCCTTATATCGTATTACAGCTTACTTTAGAAAGGGTGACTGCGACGGCTGTACAACTCTAGAGCGCACGACACAAGAGCGCCGACATTAGAGCGCCGACAGTAGAGCGCCACGACGTTTGAGCGCATGACTCGAGAGCGCCGCGACGTTAGCACGCGCGACTCGAGAGCGCAGCGACAGTAGCGCACGTGTCATTAGAGCGCCCGTCATCAGAGCGCACAACATGTCCTGCGTGAGTGGGCCGACCCGAGTGGCCCGACTTTATTTAAAACCCGCTGTGATTAATCCCGCGGAATTCAGCAATGTTATTACGAATGAGTCGTCGAAATTTTTGCGCGTGACAAACCAACGAGTGTTACAAAATGCTGACAACGGAACAAAAAGGGAAAGAATATAAGTACCTTTCATTTTTGCAGTAAAACCCATCGCATCTGACGTAGCTTCATTAGCTCTTTGATTTTAATTGATAAAGTTCACCGCCGTTCTGACTAATTTTTATTTTAAATTATTTTAAAACGTCCAGAAGTTAAGAAGCAACATGTAAAATGCTTAATCGTATTACGGAGTTTTCAAGATCATTTTCGGGAAAGGAGCTCTCATGCCAAGTTTCATACGCCAACCATTCATATTGTCAGAGATGACAATTGTACTAAACGCTTAATCTGGGAACCTGTACCGAATATAAAAATGAAATATGCATTGATGTCTGCGTAGTGGAGGGATGGAGCGCTGGGGCGAGACCCACAGCATCCGGTGGGGCAGACACCATTTCTTACGCGCTTTCCGGAATCTGGCCGCTAGAGATCTTGACGCATAGGTTCTGTCTCTGGAGACGTTTTTGTCGGAAAAAAATCTTACCTCCGAATTTTACAATGAATCCTTTAGATTTACTACCTTGGCACTATCCTTGTGTACAAGTTTGATCTCTATTCATCCCTAAACGTTTCAGCTCGAACTTTTATTTCTGTTTCTGCAGCGGTTTTTTCTTCGATATTGGTATATTTCTGAAATCTTTGGTCTCCGTATTTTTCTGAATCAAAGCACTCTATTTCAGCCTCAGAAGATTGAACTACTTTCTAAGAACAAAGGTGGAGAAGCCACGGTTGTGTAGAATGCAAAGAACAGACAAAGTGATAAACAAGTATTTTTTAGGGGCCAAGCTCCTTAGCGGCTAGACATGTCCGTATGTCCGTCCGATGTCCAGCGCTGGGTGCTGGTGCTCTCGAGCACGTGAGCACGTGCTCCCGTGCTCGTGTAGGGCAAAAAAGTACAAAAAAAAACACATCTCCACGTGGTGAATGATGTTGATTTGGGCGAAGCTCTGGTAGTGCTTGTCAGCGTAGACGCTGAGCCGCAGCATGCAGAGCCTTTCGTTCGTTTTCATCCATGTTAGAAAGAGAATGTGTGGTACGGAACGTGGTTATATACGCTCTTGAGCATTTGACCGCAGCGTGACATGGATGAAAGCGAACGAAAGGCTCGGCATGCTGCGGCTCAGCGTCTACGCAGACAAGCACCACCAGAGCTTCGCCCCAATCAACATCATTCACCACGTGGAGATGCGGTTGTTTTTCGGTTTTTTTCTTCTGTTTTTTTTTTCTTTGTAAGCTTTTCTGGGACATGCAGAAGGGGCGTTGCCTTCAGGTTGTGTTCTATGAACAACAGAAGGTGACGTCACCGTAAGCAACGCGTCAACGAATGAAGATTTTGGAAAAAAATATGCACAAATATATTTCACAGATTTCCAGGGGACGTTTCCCTGTATCCATCAAAAGGCTGGAAAGCTTTGCATCCGATAAAATTGCGCTGAGCTTTCCTTCGGTGTGTTTTTTGCTGATAGCTTTTAGCGCTGAGCTTTCTCTATTACGGTCATGGACGTCACAATACTATTTAAAGCCATGTGAGGGACGTCTAAATAGCAACCAAATAGATTAAAGCCCAAAGGCTTATCAAGAATAGACCAAATATAGCAAAAAGTATACTATTTATAGTATATCTCAGAGGCGCACCGCGGGCATAGTGAAGAAATCTTAGACTCGCTGCTCTACCCAAATGCAGGCATGCCCCGTACCAATATGCCCCACTCCCTTGCCCCCGTTTCTCTCCGATGTCAGTATAAACAATTGGTTAGAAAGAGTCGTACCCGTTTTATTTTTTTTTTTTCATTAAAGGAATATTTAATCAATCGAAAACTACCAATGCTCCGATCCGATGAGTCGCCCAATTTTGTTCTGTCTGTGGAGCCGCGGGTTCATCGCACATTTTGCGATGTTCGCTCAACTCGGGTGCGCTCTGGTGTCGCACGCTACACTGGTTGTGCGCTTTAGTGTCGCGCGCTCGTCTGGTCATGCGCTCTGGTGTCGCGCGCTCAACTGGCCGTGCGCTGTCGTGACGTGTGCTCTAGAGTCAAGCGCGCTACTGTCGCAGCGCCCTAATGTCGCGCGCTGTAATGTCGGCGCTCTAGTGTTGCGCGCTCTAAAGGCGCTCTCTCGACTGCGACAGCTAAACGAGGACCTCAAAAAATCCTCATTGCTTAGCCACAATAAAGTCAGTATCTAAAGGCTTGCTTTTACTAGCGTTATGTATGGGTCATATGCACTAAACACACCATGTTGAAATTAACCTGAGGATCGGGTAGAGAAGAAACACCAAAAAGTAGAAGGGGCAGAAAATAGACAGGACGACGTCTCAAGATATCCTCCTGTCTATTTTTGTCCCTTCTACGTTTTCATGTTTCTTGTCTACCCCAGCCTCAGGTTAATTTCAACACGGTTAATATTCACCAGCTCGCCTGCACCCCTACGATTTTTAGTAAACACACGCCTCACTAGCAGAAGTACGGAGTTTATAGATATTTAAAAATATTACGAAGCTCATAGATCAGAATAATTTTGCAAAATATTTATAGAGTAAGCCGCAATACACGCAGGATCAGACCCCTAAAGTAGCGCTTCGGTGGAACAAGTTGATTCTCAACTTCTCAATAGCAATCAGATGAATTTGTGCGGAAAGTACGTGTTTGCGTTTTTAAAGTTAAATGAGTTGCATGCACTAAATAATTACAATATTAAATAAAAGATTTTCTTTAAAGGAAGTAAAGGTTGGCGGGTGAGATTATAAATCGCGTCGATCTTGAGAATGTATGTCTAATATTTTTAGCATTGCTGCCACTACGAAAGCTCGTCCCGTATTCCTAACTACCGCAGCAAGTTGTTACTAAGTATCCTTAATCCCTGTTCACTGGCTCCTCATTAAGAATCATAATCACACAACGACAGCATCAACTCAACGATTTGGACCCCTAGGGTCAACTGAAACACTGATTAAACACGAGCTGCGGCAGCGCGCCGACGCAGCACTTGTATTCACTCTGTGTGAGTGCTTGATCGTTCTTGAGGGCGTTAAAATTTGAGCGAACTGGCCTTACCATCTCCCCTATACCTCTAACCCGTCAGGACGTTGGAATCGGCGTGCTAGTTAGACCAATCAACCGTCCGTCTTGCACATCGTGATCATGGTATCCGGGGGTATTCACGGAGAAAAATTGTGAGCAGAAAACGATAAAAGACATTCCACTGACAGTACCGCAAGCATGTGTCTTTATGAACCCTGTTAGCTTAGGTAAACAATAAATACAGTTTCGGTGGCGTTGGCCAAACAGGGTGTACAAAGGCGAAGTTATGATTAACAAGAAACGTTGGAGAATTTGAAAATAAAAAACTAGACACAAAAAAATATACTTCCCAGGATAATAGAGCACGAAAATGTGCACAACGAGGTCATTTAAATTCTTGTTGTGTTCAATATTCTGGCCTGATTTTTTTTTTTTGTATATGAACTTTTATAACATTTTTAGTTACTTGGAGTTGCAACCTCGGTGGCAATAGCGTTAAAACTACTAGAACGGAAGAGTGCTTCATTTTATTGTTAAATGAAAACGGTCAAAGCATCTTAACACAATCATTGATAAGTGAATATGAGTGAATACCTACGAAATGATATGATGTAAAATTTTCATGACAGGAGTTCGGTTTACATTTCAGCGTAGGCTACAAGAAGGTAACAATTTTCACGTTGACATTGTATTCAGTCAACGGAAAACCTGCTGTTGTTTTAAACCATGTCCTTTTGAAATGAAAGCGTTTTTTTTGTACAATGAGATAAATCAGTTCCTTAAGCTTTCTGTTTTGGAATATTTTCTTTGATGAAAAATTACTGCCTTGATTTTTCTATAAGTATGCTCTCATACTTTTATGTGAAGCACAGTTCTAATAAGTCACCCATCCAGATATTTACAAAAGAGTTACCGTTTTAATTAATTTTTCCTTCCAGGGTGAACCTTCCAATGGGAACTTCTCCAGATTTCTTACGTGTGTTCTCCTGCAGTCCTAACTCGTCTATGACTATTACAAACAAGTGCACAATGTGGTGACCAAAAGCAGGCAACAACTCAATTTAAAAATCGATTTGAATAAAATTCCACATTTTTAACTTTGGATCTCTCATGGCGCGCATGCGCACTGACGATATAGATATAAAAACTTTAAGTATGTAAAAAACAAAAAACTAAGAAAACACGTAGTGCATAAATTTGTGTAATTCTTACTTTGCACATCGGTTTTTGTCGACAGAATTACGCAGCTCATTTTGTTTTAAACGCTTTTTTATATTGTTCAATATTTTCTTGCGACTTGTTATTTTTTATATTATAGTCCGCATAGTTCGCACGTGGAATTCTCATTAGCCACGCATCCTGAAAAGGGCAAGTTTAATCATTACAAACAAAAAAATAACTTCTATGATACAGAACTCATCATTAACATGACCTGACAAGTACGAAATCTGGAATACCTCGTGATTTTGAACAACATTAAAATACAAGTGCTTCAATAGTCCGCACCCGTAGATAGTCCACACCGCGTAATTTGTCAGATTTCAAACGTGTAGAGTCCCTGGACAATACTCCAGGGTATAAGGTACTTAAGAACTGATATAAACATTGGCTATACGATACCAACTCTCAATTTGATGTACCAAGCAAAACATAGGCACTACTCTGGTCATCTCAAACTTGTAAGCATATAAAATCATAATCCACGTTTCCGTTATCGGAATCACAAGTCTCGCTGCGACATAATATTAATAATAATAATAATACAACACAATACACCATTTACTTTCCAGGACTATACTCATGACGAAGCAGTCTGGTTCGTCAAAGCCGACAAGGTATTCTGTGACTTAACCTTTTAGGTGGAATTTGTTACATATTAAATATAATAGTATTAATAATATAATAATAATAATAGATAGGAAGAAGAATATTAAATAGTAATAATATTTTTGCCTCATTTTTGACCCCCGAGCAATCTAAGCTAGCAGTCGTGATGCAGGTACCAAAAGGAATTGTACAATTAACAGGCTAAAAAACATGGATTGATTATTTCGAGCATTGAATATTTGCAATCATCTTACTCGGCACGTTTTTAATTAGATTTATAAAGTACTCATTAAAGTCATTTGACAATGTTTGTCTTCAGAGCTCTTAACCCATTGTGGCTGATCTCTTCCACTTGTTTTGTGCAACATGAATCACCCAAGACAGTTTTTAGTTGTTTTTTTTTGTGTTTTTTAAACAACGTTGACTCTGTCATTACACAAAAGAAAAAGTAACAAAACAAAATAGATTTCTTTTGCATTTCAGAATTTTTTGTTTATTGGTTTCGATGACGCATGAAAACTGTTAGTTGTTCGATTGATTTTGTTTTCATAAGCTTTTTTTTGTAACACATTTTTTGTGCGAAGATTTATACGTAATTCTTTTGTAATCAATGGTTTCCAACCTTTTATATTAGTGCCTATTTTTTTTTCGGAAAGCAGCTTTCATATACTTTTTTCCTGTTTTGTTTAAGAAAAATATCATGCGTCCTCTGCATTAATTTTATAAAGGACATCATCCCAATCCAAACAACATAATTTATCTCTGAAGTTGTATAAGTTACCAGGCGTTGTAATCTGAAAGTGTATGGCGAACTGATTATTATGTTTTATGTTCCCAGTTTGCTTTTTCTTTATACACAACAATATACCCAAGTGATCGCTTATATAAGCCATCACCACGCCAGATTTGATATACGAGCTTGTATTAAATAAATCCAACTTTTTCGATGATTCAGTAGTAGTTTTTCTTGCAGTATTTCCATAATCTCACATCCATTCGCTTTAATGAGCGCATGAAATTGTATTATAATTTACATGTTCCAATTAGCATGTTGAGATTAAAATCGCCTCCAATGGCTACGTTGTATTTAATTCGTGATATTGAGGAAAAACTCTAAGTAAAGCAAAAGGGAAGAGAGGTTCCCACTTTGCGGGCCATAACAGACGTCGATAATGCTCAGTTTGATCAGTCAGGACAGCATCTCGCAGTTTTTGTGAACGCTGCAATAATGAAACAATGGGTTGCTTTCTTGCATTTTTAGATTTATCACCTTTAAATAGATTTCGTGTGCGTTGATGTAGCGTCATTTTACTCTATCTCACGTTTCACTATAAGGCGAATTTTCGATTCTGTTTTATTGAAATACTAGACGAGTGATGCACACTCTAAAAAAAAGCCCGTGTGTCGTCTTTCCCGCAGAACACTCGGAGAGCTATTCATCGCAACTTAAGGAAGCAGCTTAGCGAATGACTATGTCGAAAATATAATTAGACCAAAAAAACGCAGTCTGAGTTGTGACATTAAGCAACGCAAAACGTCACGCTTGCATTGCTTAATGTCGCCACTCAAACCGCTTTTTTGGTCTAGTCCTATGTACCGGCACCGTCATTCGCCGAACTGCCTATGTAAGCCGCGTTGATTGTCTAATGGAGTGCTGTGCGGAGAAGTAAGCGTGTAGATTTTTTTTCAGAGTTCAAGAAGCCAGCGTCTGTGCCCTTGGCATTGGTTTTGAGTCTGATGCATACTGATCACCATGAATGGTTGGGGCGTCGCATTTCTATGCCACAATCAAGATAACATAGTAAACGTTGTTTATCATTTTTTTTAACACCACACGCATGGAACTTGCGGCTCAATGCAACTCCCGACACTTTCAACAAGCGGCGACGTTACAGCTGCCGTTGCTCTCTCTCTGGGCCTTATCCAGACGGAGACCTGTACGCTACTCGATTCAAGTAATCAAATTAATTGTAATCGATTACTTCTTAGAGTAATTTTGTAATCATCAGAATAAATTTATTAAAAAGTAATCCGAAGCCTAATCAGATTACCACCAAAATGACTTGTAACCGTTACTACCTTCCCCTCTCCATTCTAACGCAGTTCTTTGTACAAGCTTCTCACGAAGGAATAATGGAACCCAGTTTCCGACAAGAGAGTGGTTTACGTGGATTAGAAAGATATGCACTTCATGGTTATGGTGATTCCAAACCAATATCCAAACCAATACCGGACAGTACGAAGGACACATTTTCAAACCAGCTTAGCTCTCCGAGGTCGGCCCTCCGAGGTGGACGGCTCCCCGAGGTCACAACCGAGACAAGTTGCCCAGGTCTCACGATCCAGACAAGGTTGTGCGGTGCGTCTGCGAAAGTTTCAGTGAAATGCCGATGAAACGCCGGAGGCATAGTAAAATTGTTATTACGTATTTCCTCGTGTATGAGGTACGTACGATCATGTGCCAAACCTATTTCAGCTGACTCCCCCAAAAAACAACCAATGCAAATTGTAGATTGGATACATGCACGGCGTGCCAAGTGTAGCATATATGAACTATCTAATCAACAAGCCATATTGAACTGGCGTATTTCCACCTGTAACCGATACTAGTGGTAATCAATAAGAACGGAATGAAGCTGGAAATGTTTTGTTCAAGACGTGAGCAGAGGCTAGGAAAGGTTTCCACAAGGACATCCCAAACTCAACTATTATACTTTCCGTATTATCTAGATGTGCGGACTATACAAGGCACTGGATATACTTGTTGCGCAAACACAAAGAACGAACACGAATAAGTGGACAAGGACAAGCGCAATTTTTAACTAGATTTATTCGCCTCCAAGCGACTGCGAAGTGTTCGGAGCGAGCATGCTAGGCATGCTACAAAGGAAGAAAGTGAGTAAGAAAACATTCGAAACAAGAGTGATCCCCGGCGTGCCAAAATCACTGTATCAACCAAGATAAGAACTGAAATTCAGTATCAAACAAGGAAACTAGAGTGTCGCTCACTCGGGCATTTCCCTTATTCTGTGTATAAAACGCTTCTATGAGCTTTCTTGCGGTATGGTGTATAAAACGCTTCTGTGTATAAAACGCTTCTATGAGCTTTCTTGCGGTACTCCTGCCGAGGATCCTAGTCTCGTGAAGTCGCAGGGTACACATACATGTCCCACAATGCATGGGCAAGTGCGCATTTCCTACATCTTTTCTCGATTGCTCATGCTCTTGTGCCGGTCATCGGCGAAATTTCCCGTTCGTCTTTTCCACACGTGGGAAAGCGAAACGACTGCGGTAGAAAACTCCACACACGGACTGACATGCTTTTTGTTGGGGCCATCTGCCTTCTCTTTTTATTTTTCAGACAAAATCCTCGAACCTATCGTGCCTATCGTGTTTTACGCGCCCGCAAGCTTGCGTGGCGCGGAAAACATGATAGACAGATTCTACCTGCTCACTACCTATTCAGGGTGTGGGAGACTTCATGTATATAGGGCAGCACTTATGGTTGGCACGGTCTTTGCAGCGGCTCGTCTCGGCTTCTCCGAGTCCCCTTGATTTTCTGGAGCAGGAAACCGGCCGACGTCAGTCTGGCCACCTGATTATCATAGTTGCTCTGCGTTGTGTGTGAGCACGACTTCCTGACAGCAGATCCTACGCAGACGCTGCCTTTAGCTCGCTTTACAGTTATTGAATAGGCCGAGTCAAACGGCAACATACCCTTCTGCACGCGAGCGTTGAAACTCTAGCACATATTTTTTTCTCTTATAATTAGTCTGGTATCTAACAACTGGAGCCAGTCATGAGACGGTAGCTCATGTGTAATGGACAAGCCCAACCCCTGACACTAGAAAGGCGCTTAAAATTACATCTGCAGAGCCGTCAAAACGTACACCAAGTTGATTTTTCAGAATACTTTTAAACATCGCAAAGGTACGTAAAAGCTTTCACATCATTGTTGTCGTCAAACTGGTTATCTAGGTTTGAACCAGCGTTCGCCAAATAAATATTGCACAGCACCGGCGTAACGCACGACCATATCGAACTACTCTGGCGTTATATGTAAAACCAACTGGTAAAAAAGTGAGAAGTGGGTTTGAGTTAAAAATTCAGTAAACATATAAAATTATCGCCTGGCAAACTCGCACAGTTTCGGAGAGTCCGCTCAAATTCTAATTTGGGTTCATACAATGATTTTTGTCATTCCTGGAATCTCTTTTGTGGTGCTTTGCAACGTTGCTTTGCAGCACTTTCGACGATGTGGCAAAGCAATCGCGGTA